GGACTTTCCCTTACATATGGTAACTGAAACAGAAACTGCAGTACAGCTCACAGAGAAATACAAACTAGATACAGACACCATAATAAAATGGCCATGTATACCACTGTTTAGGGAAAAAAATTAAAGAAATACACTTTAACTACTGGCCCCAAATGCCACCCACCATCCACTTAAGTTCTTAAACTCTTAACTTTTAATACAAAAATATCTTCAAGCTGAAAATCAAGAACATTTACAGTAACTTAAAAAATGGACAATATTTCAATATTACACAAAACAGTTCTGTACACAGCTTGAAGTTTTAAAGTTCTTTGCTGGCACTTAACTTGAGTTGATAAAGTTATAGTGTTTAACTACTGATCTCAATAAAATACTGCCTTTTAGCTTATACATATTTTCAAAACCAATATTACTTCACAAACATTAAAGAATAAATCACTTTCTGCTGATAAAACCTCTAAGATGAATACTAAAACTATATAGCCAAAATATTTTAGGGAAGCAAACAAACTTTTTAAGACAGTGCATGACCAATGAAGAAAAATTTACATTATTTAATCATGTCCAGTGAAGAAAAGGATTGTTCCTCTGAGTCAACAAAGCATTTAACAAGTACAGATCAAAACTGTGACTTTATAAAGCAAGTTACCTTGTTCATTTTTTGGTTTAGAAGGGTGCTTAAATTGACGACACTACTAGGTAGGAAATATTTTAAAGTAAAAACTGAAATTCTATGAAAACAGTGGAATCCTGATTTTTAAAATTTTCTGTGACTGTGTAAGCCCACTGAACACATTATCAACATGAAATCACTATTTAGTAACCTTAGTATTTCTTTCTTTGCAGAAAGGAGAGCATACTAAATTTTAACAACTATAGCTGAGGATACTAAAAATTTACTTAAACGCCTTCAAAATCCAAAAATTCTCAGTCTAGTTTTCCTAGTAATAAATTTCAAGTTAAGATCTTGAACCACCAGGCAAAATTTAACTAAATTAGGAAAATCAAAATATAAACATACTAATTAACAGCAACAAAATCCATTAAACAGCTCACTATGCATATTTTAATCATGGACTTTCACCACAGTAAATTATCGAAATAAGTAGATTTCAGGTCAAAATGTATAAATGTTGTATATTGTATTAATATTTCAAATTGCTACCCTTTCTAAACCAAATCTCCAGTCCTAATCAACTTTGTCTTTTTCAGGAAAAGGGACATCACTTTAAGATACATTCCATACAGTAGAAACATCTTACTGTCTCAAAATATTTACAAAGAACCCTGCTGATCTGGTGCATTGCGCTGAGGTGCAACCTGAACCCAGACTTCATCGTCAGAAAACGAACTTGAACTTCCTGACTCGGAGTCCAGTTCACTGAATCCATCTAAGTCCCACTCGGTGCTAGACTCACTCCTTGCATCATCTTCCTCAGTAATGAAGCTCTGCCCAGGTTCAAGACAGGAAGGATAAACTCGAGCACACAAGCAAATAAAGCCAGAGTCAAACTGCAAAAGGCCTAACATGGTACCAATATTAATCCATTGGTCTTCCCTAGTGTCATATTCATATACTGTCACACGGTTCTTTTTCCACTGTGGGGTCGTAGAAGTGATGAGCAGCAACTTTTGGTCATGATTGACGATCTGGTAGTTGTGGGTTTCTGAGTCCAATGGAATATTACTAATCCGCCTCCATTCTCCTCTAGCTGGGTTGTAGACCTTCATGACTGGGATGTCACAAATACAATAGATTTCATCTTTGAAGACACAGGCTTCCTGAAAGTCACTTCGTTTAAGAGATGCACAATTCAGCCACATATTATGGCTAGGATCATAGCAGAGCATGCGCTTACTGTTGACAGCGTAAAGATAGTTCTGAACCACTATTAGTTCAAAGGAATAAAAGGAATGGGGTACAGGTGCCACCAATGCCCACTGGTTCCTCTGAACACTGTAACATTCCACTTCCTTCAATTTAACTCCAGTAATCGGGTCTCGCCCACCCAAAATGTAGATGTAGCCATTCAGGTATGCCACATCCATGCCCTCCCGACACAGCAAGCGGTCTGCCAGTTGATGCCAACTATTTTGGGCTGGTTTATACACCCATAGGTCTTTCCTGGGCTGGGCAGCGAGATAGATGTCATGGTCTGGAGAGACACAAACAGCTGAGGAGGTAATGGTCTTAGTGTGCGCCAAGCTGGTCAAAGGAGATGGCATTGTGTAAATATCTCCTGAATAAGGGTCATAGCAGAGAAAAGGATCTCTGGGGTGTCCGAAAAAGATTACCATCTCTTTGGCACACATGCCCAACCTTTGGGGTGGATTTTCTGCTACAGATACAACAGAGCTACTGCTACTATTGCTGCTGCCGCTGCTGCTGCTGCTGTGGCTGCTATTTGGCTTGGATACCACTGACTTGTACAACCGATCACCAAAACGCAGCTGCAGGAGGGCCCCTTCAATAATGTCCAGGCAGTACTTCTTCACAATAGGCTTGGTCAGTAGCCCTCCCAGGTAGTCCTGATCTTCAGCGGGGAAGTGTGCCCAACGAACACACTTGAAGACTTCTGCAGCGCTGGGGCCCCGCTCTTTGGGAGCAGCCTCGAGCCACTGCACGGCCACATGGCACACTGTCTTCTCACTCTCCACATCCAGACTATCCAGACGCAGGACGGCCAGCAGCTGCGCCAGGGTCAGATCTGCCAGCGTCTCCTCCCGAATGGAACCCATCCTGCTGAGCTGCTTGAAGTTGTGAGCGATAAAGGACTGGGCCTGGGAGCGCAGCTTGTGATGGTCAAAGGCATCTGCAAACTTGAGGATGGCAGTGCAGTTGGTCAGGTCAAGGCGCCGAGCCAGGAAGGAAGCACACGCTTCGCGCACGTACTCCAGCTGGAGCATATCTGAGGCCGCGTACAGGCGCTGCACGTTGGCCTCGCTGAGGGACACGCGACCGGTGTAGCAGTAGTCGACCAAGACCTCGAAGGACTCGGCATCCACATCGTGAATGGTCACGCTGGCCTGCTGGCTCTCGTACATGCCGCCCGTGAACATGCTCTTGAAGTAGGGGCACGCCGCCGCCAGCACGTTGCGGTTGCACGAGAAGAGGCGCCCCGTGCCAGGCCCGCTGCCGGGCGTCACCACCTCGATGGTCACATCACACAGCAGCCGCGCGTCGTAGAAAGACTTGAGCTGGGCCAGGAGGGCTGCGGAATGGGCCGTGTCCTTTAACTCCTCCGGGCCCGTGAAGAAGGCCGACACCGAGGGCTTGGAGATCCTCTTGGGCCGCCTCCCGCCGCGGGGACTGGCGAGGCGGCGAGAGCGCGGGGCGTCTTCCCGGGACTGCATGGTGGAGATGGCGGCGGGGCGCCGAGGGCGAGAACGGCTGCAGACGCCCGGCTCCTCTTCACGCCTCCCTCGCCGACGCCGACGCAGAGGCGTCCCAGAACAGACTACGCTCGCGGCCGCAATGACTCCACCCGGCCTTCGCCGCGGCGCCGCCTCCCTTTATCGCGTAGCCCGCGCCTGACTCACCGTTTCCCTTCGCGCCCTTTCTCCTCTCCGCTCACCCTTACACGACCCCGGGCTCCAGCCGCGAGAACAGCTTCTGCCGCGCTGGCGATACCGGTAGGTGCCCGGACGAACTACTCTTCCCAGGTTGCCTTTCGCGCGCCTCGATGCATGACGGGATCATCGAGGCTGGCGGGCCAAAACAGACGGGTCGAAGCAGCGGCTTTGCATGTTGGGAGTTGTAGTTTGGGTGTTTTCTGTTGTTGAATCCTGTCACAGGTGGAAAACAGTATCCTGAATTTGCTGCTAAAGGTTTTAGCCTTGCCTAGTGACCCACGCTTTTAATCCCTCACTCAGGAGGCTGAGGCAGGCGGATCTCTGTAAATTTGAGGCCAGCATGGTCTACATAGTCAGTTTCAGGATAGCTAGGGCTGTTACACAGAGAAATCCTGTCTGGGGGTTGGGGGAAACAACAACCACCAAAAACCTAAATAAACAAAATAAAAAGGCTTGCAAAATTGCAAAATTGCCCATGCCATCTATCATCTGGTGAATGCAAATCAATTCACAATAAGGGTTCACCACACACTCACTGGAATATCTAAAATTAAAAGAGGAAACAATGCTAAATATTGGTGAGGATATATGCCACTGGAATCTTACATACTAATAATACAAATGGAAACGGCTATGACTTGAAGCACGATCCTAATTAGTCTTAACAATAAAAACCTGGAGTCAGATCATATGGGTGAGATCCTGTCTCTACGACTCCTCAGACTGAATGGGCCATGAGAGCCTGTCTCCACCCGCCTTATATTCCTGTCTTCACCTCCCTAGAGCTGGGATTAAAGGCATTGATCCTCCCATGTGCTGGAATCAAAGGCATGAGATCCTAAGTGATCAAAGGGATCCCTTGTAGTGAACCCAAGGGATCAAAGGTGTGAGCCACCACCACTGACTGTTTCTCTTTTAGATTGGTTCAGTCTTAGTAATGTAACCCAGGGTGGCCTTGAACTCCTGATCTTCCTGCTTCCTCCTCCCAAGTGCTGGAATTAAAGGTGTGTGCCGCCACTGCCTGGCCTCTATGGTTAACTAGTGGCTAGCTTGGCCCTCTGATGGCCAGGCAAGCTTTATTTGTCAGAACACAAACAAAATATCATACAACAGTGATTATTACACTAGAAAACTCTTTGGTAGTTTCTTTTGAACATCGGGTAATTTCACTGCTAGGCCCGAGGGAAATGGGAACATCTACAAAAAGAATTGTGTTAGAACTTTTCATAATAACTGTACCCAGAGTAGCTGCAATCTGCAAACAATCCAACAATCATCAACAGAATAAATAGTATATTTATACAGTGTAACACGACTCAGAAATCAAAAAAGAAATGTCTTTTAATGTTTAAAATAATGTAGACAAGCCTCAATTTTTAAATTTTTTTTTAATTTTAATTTTTTTTTTTTTTTTTTTTTTTTTGAGACATGGTTTCACTGTGTAGCCCTGTCTGTCCTGGAGCTCACTCTGTAGACCATGCTGGCCTGGAACTCAGAGATCTCCTGCCTCTGCCTCCCACATACTAGGATTAAAGATGTGCACCACCACTGCCTGGCAAATCTCAAATTTTTTACAGAGTAAAAGAAGGCAGATAAAGACTTGTCCATCCAAATGGTGGACTCCCAGCCCAGTGAAAATAAACTTCCGTGAACAACAGTCATGACAGCTGCCAGTCTTGGATGAAGGGTGGAGAGCTGGTGGATAGCTAGATTGGAAAGAAATATGAGGAAACTTTGGGAGTTGGGGAAAATGTTTTCTTCTGTTTGAGCAGGTGTTTGCACAGGTGTCTGCAACTGGCAAACTCAATGAACTATATTCATATTTGAGCTTTCCATGCACAATAAATTATATCAAATGTAAGGAGTTTCCTCATAATTGTTAGCACTAAACAAGGTTGTGTGTAACGAGTCTTTTTCTGTCCCACCAGCCAGCTCCCAAATAATGACATGGAGACTTCTTATTAATTATGAAAGCTTGGCCTTAACTTAGGCTTGTTTCTAACTAGTTCTTTCTTTCTTTTTTTTTTCCCAAGTCAGGGTTTCTCTGTGTAGTCCTGGCTGTCCTGGAACTCACTCTGTAGACCAGGCCTGCCTCTGCCTCCCAAGTGCTGGGATTAAAGGCATGCGCCACCACCACCCAGCTCTAACTAGTTCTTATAACCTAAATTGACCCATAATTTTTAATCCACGTTCTTCCACATGCTTGTTACCTCCTCTCTGTACTGCCCATCCTACTTCTTCTGTCTTTGGCTGGAGAGGCTGCCTTTTTTCTTCCCAGAGCTCTCTGTCCCCAGAAGTCATATGTATACCTCCTGCCTAGCTATGGGCCATTTAGCTTTTTAAATCAATCACAGTGACACATCTTTACACAGTGTAAAGGAATATTCCACAACAGTTGTGAAACTCTTTTCTAGGAAATCATCAGGAGCATAGTTCAGTCATAAAGCAAGGCTCTCTTTAACTAGAAGTTCAGAAATCAGCATTGTTGTAGCTCATACAGATGATCGCTGCAAATGTGGTCCTCTGCATCCCGAGGTGATTCTCAATGATCGGCAGACTAGGATTTTGCAAAACAAAGTAGCAGAATGCCAACACGGCACTTAACATGGCATCCTTTCATTCCTGCCCCAACTTTATCACTAGCACGTTCCTTATCACGTTTCCTCAGTTTCAATTCTTCACATTTTCTTGTAATTGACATAATCACCTATAACAGAATCCTTATCCATTTCTGTTCATGAATGTTTTCAACAGCAGGATCAACCCAAGGCCCTCCTGAGGAGGTCCAATGTCTCTTATTTTCACTATTTCCATGCTGGTTGACTTCATTCCTTCTCTCTTCCTGATGTCTTTCCTGGGACAGACCCTTTTGTCTTCCACTATGATTTTGTTCCTGATTGGCTTCCCTAGGCTCCCTTCCTTCTACACATTGGACTCAGCTTTCTGCAACTCCTTTTCCTAGTTTTTATTCTAAGCACTCTAATGTATAGCATGTCTTACTTGTTTGGCCTTTAAGGCAGGGGACAGGATATATATACTTCATTAAAAGGCTGCATAAAAAGCACAGTACCTGCTCATCTCAGAACTCAGGCTTCTGTGCCGTGTACACGTGAGTCACCACACCCCCTCCTCCAACTCCATCTGACACCCACTCCACTCCTGTTCCCAACAACTCAGTGTCAGCGGCACCACCAGGCTGCCGTGTCTACAGCCTGGCTCATCTCGACTGTTTTCACTCTGATATTCAGATCGCCTCTATAGAGTGTTCATTTTCATATTCAAGATGATTCTCCGTTGCCTTTTAGTCATTAACTGCCATGAGGGTTTAAATAAGGCCACCCTCCCCTCGTTGAAGAGTGCCTTGGACGGGACCTGCCTGCAAGCATCCCTTCTGTTTCACGTATTTAGTCGATACTAATTTCTCTTGGACCTGTTGTGTAGTTTTTAAAGACTGTAACTCTATATAAGCTAGGCCTGGTGACTCACACCTATAATCTCCTTACTTGGAAGAAAAATGCTTATGGTTTTTAAAAGGCTTACATCACGTGCCGGGCGGCGGTAGTGAAAGGACCAAGTCTACGCCATGACAGGCTGCTCAGTCTTCTCTCAGAGATCAGGCCTCAATTTCAGTTTCCTGAGACTTGAGCAAGCAGTTTCTGGGAGGGCCACGAACAAAAGACATAGTCCTTGCAGTAGCTCCCTTTCTGCACGTACTCTGACTGCTCAAGGTTCAGCCAGTTGTTTACTGTCTGGGACCCCTCACCAACTTAGAGCTAAGTGTGTGGGTCAATGTGAACGTTCGAGGCCAGCCAGCCCCCATGGCAGCTTCAAGGACAAAGCCTGGGACCTGTCCAGGCCTGCCCAAAAATGATAACTGTAACCCCCAACCAGTAAATTCAAAGATTACACACCCTCACCCAAATCATCTCATGCAAAGGCTTGTACCATCCTGCTTGCAGTTTTTGCCTTTAAAAACTCCTCACTCTGACAGCTCAGGGCCGTCCTCCTCCACCCGCTGTGTCGGAGTGTTGGACATAGACCAACCCGTGTGTTTTGCATCAGATATCGGCTCTGAGGTGGTCTTGCTTGGGGGTCTCCTGATGCAGGCACAGCAGTGGCGCAGGCCTTTAGCCCAAGCACTTGGAAGGCAGAGGCAGGCAGATCTCTCTGAGTTCAAGGCCAGCCTAGTATACAGAGTGAGTTCCAGGACAGGTTCCAAAACTACACAGAGAAACCCTGTCTTGAAAAGATAAAAATCAGAAAACAAAACCCCCCAAAATGTGACTTTCATTCATTAAAATGACTTCTATAAAAACTCTGTATGTATATCTATACTTTATGACTATTCATTAAGATTCCCACACCTGTTTCTTGATCAAAGTCTCTTTCATTTATTTATTTTTTTTGTTTTGTTTTGTTTTTTGTTTTTTGAGACAGGGTTTCTTTGTGTAGCTTTGCGCCTTTCCTGGAACTCACTTGGTAGTCCAGGCTGGCCTCGAACTCACAGAGATCCGCCTGGCTCTGCCTCCCGAGTGCTGGGATTAAAGGCGTGCGCCACCACCGCCCGGCTATTTATTTAATAATAAATAATAAGCCGCATTTATTTCACTGATTTAAGGCTTTCATCCAAAAATTCAGCTATGGCTTCTTCATCTGCTGATTGAAGCAGTCTCTGAATTAGCTGATCCAGACATTTCTCACCACGTAAAAATTCCTGATTAAAAAAAAAAAAAAAAAGATGGAGTTATTATGAAATCTGATGATATAGTGTGAATCTCGGGTGTTTCCCAAAGGCCCATATGGTAAATGCTAGGCCCTCAGCCTGTTGCTATTGGAAAGTGGTAAAAAGTTAAAAGAGGTGGGCCTAACGGAAGGTGTGCCCTGAATGGAAATGAAGGATGCCAATCTGTTCTCTCCGTTTTACGTCTAGGACATGAGGCGAATGGCTTCCTCTGCCTCCTGCTCCTGCCTCGATGTACTGACTGTGTGCTGTCACAGGCCCAAACAAGGGGCCAGGGAGTCCTGGTGTGGTACTATGAGTGACAACAGCCCCCACAGGCTTGCACATTTGAATGTTTGGTTCCCAGTTGGGGGCTGGTTGAGACTAGGAGGTGTGGCCTTGGTGGAGGAGGCGTGTCACTAGGGATGGGCTTTGAGGTTTCAAACGCCTAAGCCAGGCCCAGTCTCTCACTCTTTGCTTCCACCTCTCAGGTAAGAAGTAAGCTCTTAGCTAATGCCTGCCTGCTGCCATGCTCCCCACTACTGTGGTCATGGGCTTCTCCTTGGGAACTGTAAGGACGCCCACAACTAAATGCTTTTCTAAAGTTGCCTTCATCATGGTGTCTCTTCACAGCGATCGAACAGTAACTAAGACACATGAACTGAAACCTCTAAAACTGTGAGCTAAAATCATCTCTTCTATTTTTAAGTTGGTTTTCTCAGGTAACCGTTACATTGATGGAAAGCTGGCAGACACACCTGATAATCAAAAATAAAGAAAGGTATCGTCTATTTCTTTATAGTCTTTACACAGCAACAACGCTGAATAGACTGCTAATAGATGGAGAATCCCAGGTTCAGTGCTTTTTTTGTCTTAAGTAAAAAGTGGATCTAAAAGAACAAATAGAATTCTACTTCCTTTAATTGCTTAAGTTAGCATTTTACTTTGAAATCAATATTCTGTGACTCCAATCTTTCCAGTGACTCTAGAGATAGACAAAGAAAGCTGAATGAGCTTTTGAAACTGACAAACTGCCTGTCTTTAAAGACCCTTTGCTGAGTTTTTATGACACCAGCCTCCGTTAGCACACTGTCTTTGAGAGGAAACATTCCCTGTGATCCTTCTACTAGTTAAAAAGAGTGTGCTCATCGTAAAAAAAAAAAAAAAAAAAAAAAAAAGTCATATTCTTGTTCTGAAAACTAACCCTTTTCATTCATATTATACTATTTCCACAATGGCAGGCCTTCCAGAATCTGTGGCTGCATTAGTGTGCACTGCTCCCTGCCAAATACTCCCTATGTGGCTCTGAGAAAGCGTCTCCCTGTTGTGGGATATTTGTTTACATTGTGAAGCTATGTCTTTGTTACGGTACCTTCTGACTGGTTTAATAAAGATCTAAATGGCCAATATCCAGGCAGGAAGAGAATAGGCGGGACTTCTGGGCAGAGAGAGAGGAAGTCAGAGGGATCAATCTAGGCTGAGGAAGACACCAGGGGAGATGGAACAGGTTGGACATATGGAACAGAGGAAAGTTAACCAAGCCTTTTGACAGAACATAGATTAATAGAAACAGGTTAATTTAGTTATAAGAACTAGTTAGAAAAAAAGCCTAAGTTGCTGGGCGGTGGTGGTGTGCACCTTTAATCCCAGCACTCAGGAGGCAGAGGCAGGTGGATCTCTGTGAGTTTGAGGCCAGCCTGGTCAACACAGCGAGTTTTAGGACAGGCTCTAAAGCTACACAGAGAAACCCTGTCTCGAAAAACCAAAAAAAAAAAAAAAAAAAAAAAAAAAGAAAGAAAGAAAGAAAAAGAAAAAAGTCTAAGCTTAGGCTAAGCTTTCATAATTAATAAGTCTACATGTTGTTGTAAGCTGGCGAGCCAAAGAAAAGTCCGACTGTAAATGGTACCCAATGTCTGGCCACATATATCCACATAAGGCCTGAGAAAGCTTAAAAAAATTTTTTTTGAACACAGAGTATGCAGCTTCCTGGCAACCACAGGTAGGATAGGCATACAGAGGCACAGCTCTTTTATGAGGCTCTGCTGTGCAGCTGAGCACCTGAGCAGCATACTGGGTACAAACACCTGCCACAGGCAGACACAACAAATTCCCAGAGCTAGAGCGGGTAAATGCAGCTCCAGGACTGTACCCACCGGCATGAGGTGAGGCTCTCAGGGAACAGAAGGGGGTGGAACCAGCCTTCAGAGCCACAGGGCAGTAGCCTAGCAGTTTAAAGTTTGGCTCACAAGGAATACTACAGATGAGCAAAAAGCCAAGTGCAGACACAAAAAAACCTCTAAAAATATACAAATGCTTTAAAATGTGCTTAGATGCAAAAGAAAGAAAAGGGTATAGGCAGTCATAAAAAATAATTTAAAAATAAAGTCTTTAAAGAGAGATTAAAGTAATATTTTAAAAAAGCCACATAAGGATGGGAAATACACATGGCATCTGGATCCTATATGGTGCCTTGTTGATTCTGCATTTTTTAAATGCTAATAAACAAAAACAATAGCTGCTGAGAGACACTGGATTATGAAAAATGCTAAGTTAAACCAACCTATGTATTTTAAGAATGCCTTAACTTCAGAATGGAAGTCACAAAATATGTTGCATTGAGGGAGAGGTTTTTGGGAAACAAAAAGAAATGGATTACTTTAAAATTAATAGAGACAAGATTTGATTGAAGGAGACCTCCTGAGGATCTTGGCTGCAGACATGAAAGAAAAACCAAAAAAGACTAGAAGACAAGTGCATAAGCTGATCCCTCAACATGGGAACATCCCTGAGACTGGATGAGACATGATAAATCTTGTTGGCTACACAGTCCTCATGACTTATTATTACATGCCATTCTTTCATATGGCCCACATATGTACACCCCACATTCCCTGTTTGGTTAATGCAGATATATATGTTATCTCTAAAATGTTGTGTGTTTTCAGAAAATAGGACCCAAAACCAATGAAAACAAGTAGCCCAGGTGATCCAGCCTCTCAAAATGCCTCTATTGCAGTTTCCTCAAAAATCTGTATCCAGAACAACTTCAAAGCTGCAAGCCGAGATGGTCCAGCCTGATGCACTACTCCAGCCAGGACTTCAGACAAGCTCTGCACTTTCCCATCACACAGACACTAAATAAAAACAATAGAGCTAGCTCTCCCAGAATCTTACCATTGTCCCGGTTTTCCCAGGGTCCCCTAGAGATGCTGTCACTCACAGACAACAGGAAGCAGTCTAGAGAACATGATGCCCACATTCCCAACAGGTGGTGTTTTTGGTCATTCAATGGATTATGGATGTTTATCATCATTTGGGAAGGGGGTTGGTTGCAAGTTGTTGTTGGTCATGGTCAGGGAGAAAACTGAATGAAGGAGATTAGAATCAGGGATCTCTTTCTGAAGGGAAAAAGGGGGGATATAGTAAAGAAATGATATGGAAAAGGGTAGAATATTGAATCTACTTTTAAAGTTAAAAAGTAATTATTAGTCTCAAATATTTTACATTGGTATAGATTTTTATATATTGATACAAATTTAAGGTTATTATTGTTAGAACACACTCTCTATATTTCTACTCTTAAAGTATTTTTATATATTGATACAAATTTAAGTTTCTTTTTGTTATACTATATATATGTTTCTACTCTTTTTTAAGGTATTACAGCTCATTTAAAAAAGTAATGTATAATTAAGAAATACAGGTTAGCCTTTCTGGTGTTTAGAACATACTCTATATATGTTCCTACTCTTAAGGTATTTTTATATATTGATACAAATTTAAGTTTCTTTTTGTTATACTCCCTTTGAGAACATGCCTCTTGCAAAGGATCTCCTTCATCCCTCTCCTGTTGGAGCCAACTAGGTTTCCTAGTGGCTGTACCCAGCAGGACTGCATTGGGGGTTGATTGGACCACGGGCCTGGGTACCAGGTGTTTGTAAGGGTCTAACTAGCCAAGGGGGAGGTCTTTTGCTCCACCCCTTGGCATTGTTATAAATAGACCTTTGGAATAAAGTTCTGGGCCGGTGGATAAGGATCCAGGCCCACTCGAGTCTATCCTGTGTTTTCTCTCTGTTTCTCTCCATTCTCTATTTCTAACTAAGTCTCTTATCCCTCAATCCTCAAGAGTTCCTGGGGTAAATAAGTGTGGGGGCTGGTCTCCCATACTCTCCAGAAGAGGAAAAGAGGAAACATAAGAAAAAGCATCTGGTACAGAGCCCCAATTCCTACTTCATGGATGTGAAATGCCCAGGATGCTATAAAATCACCACAGTCTTTAGCCATGCACAATTGGTAGTCTTGTGTGTTGGCTGCTCCACTGTCCTCCATCAGCCTACAGGTTTTGGAAAAGCATGGCTGACAGAAGGATGCTCCTTCAGGAGGAAGCATCACTGAAAACACCTGATTCAAGATGAGTGGGAACCATCCCAATAAACACATTTTGGATATATTAAAAAAAAATACAGGTTAGTAGTCATCTATAATAAATCAAACTTGTAGTCATGTTAGGTTTTTTTGTTTGTTTTGTTTTGTTTTTTATGAGACCAAGTTTTTCTGTGCAGCTTTGCGACTTTCCTAGAACTCGCTTTGTAGACCTGGCTGGCCTCGAACTCACAGAGATCCACCTGCCTCTGCCTCCTGAGTGCTGGGAATAAAGGCTTGCACCACCACCGCCCAGCAGGTATGTTTTTAAGGTCAAACAAATATATTTTAAATAGATGGTCTTTAAACACTTCAGAGGACTACAGAATATGGCATTTAAAATGTTATAAGATTTATTAATTTATATTTTTATTAGTATATATTAAATTTAAAATGTTATAATAACATAAGGCTTTTCATGACAGTAAGATACGTCTGCTCCTGACAGCACCAATTTACTTCAAAAAAGGATGATGCGCATCAAAGAACCTCCATTTGGAGTTTGCTCTCAATGTGGCAAAGCTAGCCGTTTGGGCAAGAAACTGCCCTTGCCTTGACTGCTAACAGCTGCTGTCTAAATTGGACAAGAGAACACAAAAGAAATTGACTGCTGAACTTTGCCAAGACAAGGTAGGACAGTCCTTCAACATTCCTTCTTGACTGTGAAGTCTCTCAGATATTCTAGGCCTGTAGGCTTCCAAAGATGGATGCCCCAACACTGCAGAAGAACCTTGGATGACTGTCCTGACAGCCAGATGTTTCTGGCATTTCTATAGTTTTGGAAGTTGCTTGCTCTGTACTTCCTGCTTACTCAGGTAATATTATATCCTTCTCCGGTCTTTGATAGGGTTGAAGACTAGATAGTTATAGTTACAGTTTTCCTTGTTACCAAATTCAGAAAAGAAACTCACAAAAGAGGTGTAAAGTGTATAGAGTTAAAAGACATAAAAACATAAGTTGTTTATCTAAGAAAATGTTTTGAAGTCTACAAAGATATTTTTAGGATGCTAATATAAGTTATGATAACAATGGTTTAGGTATAAAACTTTAGATTCATCAAGATAGAATAGATATTAGAGTATTTTCTCCCAATATGTGAAATACAAATGGACTGGACATTGTAAATGTAATTCTTACCTGATAATTGTTCCTTTTTGTTTGTTTGTTTTTCGAGACAGGGTTTCTCGGTGTAGCTTTGCACCTTTCCTGGAACTCACTCTATAGCCCAGGCTGGCCTCGAACTCACAGAGATCCGCCTGCCTCTGCCTCCCGAGTGCTGGGATTAAAGGTGTGCACCACCACCACCCGGCTGATAATTGTTCTTATTGTATATAGTTTTACTATGTTTGAGTTAAAACCTCTCCTTTTAATTTAGGCGAAAAGGGGGAAATGTTGTGGAATATTTGTTTACACTGTGAAGATGGGTCTTTGTCAAGGTACCTTTTGATTGGTTTAATAAAGAGCTAAATGGCCAATACCTAGGCAGGAAGAGACTCAAAGGACCTGTTAATTGAACAGGAAGGCAGCTGGAAAGGACTGATTAGGAAGGAGACGTTTCAATTACTCTTTAAAATAAATAGGTCTTCCCCAAGCAGCAGGCATTTCAAATGAAGAGAGACAAAGAAATGAAGTACAGCTAGAGCTCAGGGCAAGGGCAACATTCAAACTGACTGAAATACAAAGTAGGAGATAAGATTGGTATTAATCTACAGAACGTTAAGAACTAAATATTCCATGTTAGACTGTTACATAAATAAATTTCCATAAAATTGAGTTGAGTGTGGTGACAAACTTAATTCCAACTACTCAAGAGGCAGAGGCAGGAGATCAGGAACTCCAAGCCTAGCCTGGTCTGTACAGTGAGATACTGTCTGCAGAAGAGCCACCTACAAAGGAACACTAAGATTACCAGGTGTTCTCACAGAACCCAGGAACTGGAGCACCTGGGCTTGCTGCTGCTTCCCTGGACTGAGACCGGGCCTACAATAAATGAATGTGGGCATTTACGTCATTAGGATACATTCTTCTCATTTGTAGTCTTGCCTCCATCTTCTACTTGCAAAGCTGGGAAATGTGCCTTTTGACCTCTTCTAAGCTTTTTATATTTCAGGTTTAGCCACCAAGAAGAGAGCACAGCTCTCTTTATCCCTAGTTTAGAATTCCTGGGAGGCACTCACTGGTGGCTGGGGCTTGTTTAGGTGCCTGAGCCAAACAAATCAATTATTGTCGGGGTCATGATCATGCCCAGGCACAGCTGCTCCATCACGAGTTCTGAGGATGGAGTCAGAAGAAGCCTGAGTTCTTGAAAGGGGTGGAAAGCTGGGCAGAAGAGTCCCTAGATGCTCTGTCTCCTCCTTTCTACCCTTTCTACTCTGTCCACCAGCTGCTGCCCTGCAGCCAAGGTCCTTCCGCCTTTTCCAGCCTCTTCTATATCATTTCTAAGTTCCTCACCCCTGTTAGTCTACTTGCTATCTTTCCTTCTGACCTGGTGGCAGTGTGGTTTTCACTTTTTGGTTTTGAGAAAGGCCTTGCTATCAAGCTGGCCTCAAAATTAACTGTGATTCTCTTCCCACAGCCTCCTAAGTACTAAAAAAACAACTAAAAAAGTTTGGCATAATTGAACATATTGTCAAATATGTTCACTTTTATATTATATTATGTCTTTCATCTAAGGAAAGAGAAGTTAGCATTCTCTCCCTCTACCAGGTATGGTGTCTCACTCTTGTAATTCAAGGAATCAGAAGTCTAAGGCCAGCCTGGGCTACAGAGTGAGACCCTATCTAAAACAAACAACAACAGTCAAAACTTTTTCTCATTCCATGGTCATATGCGAGATAGCTGTGTGCTACAAGATAACAGAGGAAGAGGCCTAAGATACACAAACTCTAAAATATCAAAAACAGATGTCTCTCTAGTAAAATCAAGAATTTAGTGTAGCTAGAGTTTTCCTGCCTGGCCCACAGTCAGGACAAATCTCTATCACCCGCCAGTCCCACAGCCGCTCAGACCCAACCAAGTAAACACAGAGACTTATATTGCTTACAAACTGTATGGCCATACCAGGCTTCTTTGCTAACTGTTCTTACAGCTTAAATTAATCCATTTCCATTAATCTATACCTTGCCACGTGGCTCGTGGCTTACCAGCATCTTCACATACTGTTTGTCATCGTGGCAGCTGGCAGTGTCTCTCTGACTCAGCCTTCCACTTCCCAGCTTTATTCTCCTCCTTGTCCCACCTATACTTCCTGCCTGGCCACTGGCCAATCAGTGATTTATTTATTGACCAATCAGCAACACACTTGACATACAGACCATCCCACAGCAATTTAGTTTTGGGGACTGTGGTAGTTTGAATGTAATTGGTTCCCACAAGCTCATAGGGAATGACACTATTAGGAGGTATGGCTTTGTTGCAATAGGTATGGCCTTGTTGGAGGAAGTGTGTCACTGTGGGGGTGGGCTTTGAGGTCTCATCTATGCTCAAGCCACGCCCAGTGTCCCAGACCACTTTCTGTTGCTTGTAAGATGTAGGACTCTTAGCTACCTCTCCAGCACCATGTCTGCCTGCACGCTGCCATGCCCCACCATGATGATAATGGACAGAACCTCTGACACTGTAAGCTGCCACCTCAGTTAAATGTTTTCCTCATAACAGTTGCCATGGTCTTGGTGTCTCTTCACAGCAATAGAAACCCTAACTCAGACAGGTACAAAGTGGACAGATCAGGATTAATAAGCTAGGTACCCCATGAACCAGGGAAAAGGGTCTTGGCTTTTTCACATAGTCCTTTATGGAAACTGGTTCATTTTTGCTTCAGTGGCAGCACAGGAAAAGAATTACTATACTTCTTTATTAATGCATTAATGTTAGTAGTCCTAGCTAGAAGGATTTTAGCTAATGGCGCTCAAGAAATGTTGACAGGATGTTTTCTCCAACATCTTGGCTATACCTCCTACATCAAAAGAATATGTATTAGTTGGGTGTGACGGTGCATGCCTTTATTCCCAGCACCTGGAGGCAGAGGCAGATGGATCTGTTTGAGGCTTAGCTTGGTCTACATAGTGAGTTCTAGGCCAGCCAGGGCTACATAGTGAGACTGGTGTCAAAATAAGAGCAAATAAAAAAAAATCAACCAATACACACACACACACACACACACACACACACACACACACACACACACACTGTAGTAGGTCTAACTCTGTGGTGTTCCTAGTGTATTTACCATATATAATTCTCTCTTACAGATGGAACCTGTGACAATAAAGAAATAGTACTTCTGTGACCAGGTAATCAATAAGGTAACCTTGAGATAATAAAAGACAATGTCACCCTAGTGGGTTTCACCTCATCAGATGTACCCGTAAAAAGGCCTGCCCATTCCTGTAAGAAAGGATTAAAAATGAGCAGAGGGTGTTTGGAGGGAGCCACTTGGGAAGCAACTTACAGCAACATTAAGGGCTATAAGCAGTTTACGTGTGGCTGTGAGCAGAAGCATGCCAGTCCTGCAGCTTGGGACAATGGAAGAGGAAGAAGTTCAGAAAAGTGAGTAGATAGCCACACTGCCTTTGTTCCAGCCTTGTGAGACTCCAAGCAGAGAACAGCTCAGCTGTGCCTGGACTTCTGACCTACAGAAATCTGACAGGGTGGGGGTCTCACCAAGTGGTGGAGCATTTATCCAGCATGTGTGGGACCCTGGGTTCAACTTGTAGCATCACAAAAACTTCATAACAAAAGGTTTTGTTTTAAGCTGCTAACTTTGTGGCAATTACTAATAATAATGTAAATGTGTATATCTGTTTTATAATAATACAATGTGATGGCATAACAAAGGATTTAGAATTTATTATGGTTCTTTGTTTTTCGTGTATGTGTGTCACTGTGCATGAGTGATCAAAGGATAATTTGCATGAGTTGGTTCTCACCTTCCACATGAATCCTGCGAATGTGCTCTTAGCCAGTGAGCCATGCCTCCAGCCTGATTATACTTCCTAACAAAGCAAAGTACATAAAGCACAGTCAGCAATATTACCTTAATGTCCCGAACTTCAAACGCTATCCTGTGGTCAGTGACTCTGTCCTGGGTGAAATTATATGTCCGGATTCTCTCTGACTGTGCTCTTGTTCCCACCTGTCCCGTGACAAAAAGAAATTCATAGTTTTAATTTTAGAATTAAAAATTACAGTATTTATTAAATCTTAATAAATTCCTTATACATGACTTTCCTGTTTGAAGGGCTTAAGTATTTACTAAAAACCCCTATATTCGGCCGGGCGGTGGTGGCGCACGCCTTTAATCCCAGCACTCGGGAGGCAGAGCCAGGCGGATCTCTGTGAGTTCGAGGCCAGCCTGGGCTACCAAGTGAGTTCCAGGACAGGCGCAAAGCTACACAGAGAAACCCTGTCTCGAAAAACCAAAAAAAAAAAAAAAAAAAAAGAAAGAAAAAAAGAAAAAAAAAAAAACCCTATATTCATAGAACAGACAGAAGAAAATCTTAAGACTGTGGGTTTGGGGCTGGGGAAGCAGCTGAGTGGGAGAATGCATGCTTACCCAGAAAAAGACCCCAGCTATTTTTTTGTTTTAATTTTTACCTCAGTGCATTGGTGTTTTGCCTGCATGTATGTATATCTGTATGAGGGTGTCGGGTACCCTACAACTGGAGTTACAGACAGTTGTAAGCTGCCATGTGGGTGCTGGGAATTGATCCTGGGTCCTCTGGAAGAACAGCCAGTGCTCTTAACCGCTGAGCCATCTCTCCAGCCCCCTGTGGATCCTTTTTGTCTGCTAAGAGCACACACTTGAACTCAGCATTCAAGATACCTCTTAACATGGACAGGCTTCCCAACATTATTTCTGAGAATCACGTGAACCTTTCCAATGCCACTTGTTATATCATGTCGTATTCAGTGTTGTCTAGCTCATCATGTTAAGGGATGCCCTTCCCTACCACTCCCCTCCTACCCCACCCAGAAACTGGAATATGTTCCCTGACTCCTTAAATTTACAGCTTGGCATCTCCACAGATCACCCCAGGCAATGGTTCCCTGTATGCTCAGTCTGCTCCTGTGCTGCTCCACAGCACTATCAATTGCTTTCACTTCTTAAGATTAAAGAAGCACATTTCTGTATCTTTCCTTCATTCTCTCCCACTGCCCCAGCTCTCTTGTCCTTTCTTCAGACAGACTCTCACTGTACAGCACAGGCTGATCTGGAACTGGCAATCTTCTTGCCTCAGCCTCCCAAATACTGACTCATTTTCTTCAAGCCTGAGGCAAACAATATGAAATGAAACTTCTCATCAGGAGATTTTTGAAAAGTTAGATTTCTACACTCACTCATAAACATACAGAACCAGGGACTGTGTGTTCTGAAACAGTCCCTCAGCTGTTCCTTCTGCCAAGCTGGGTTTGGAAAACAAATACTAGGACTCCAGTCTAGATCAGTTAGATCAGAATCCTGGGGAGTGGAGGTGGGAGGCTGGGGGTGACACATCTGCATAACTTCCTGGGTGATGAGGGACCAGGATTGAGCACTGGGCACTGCATATGACCACTGTATGGTTGAAGAAAAAGTTCTAAACAGTAGAAATTGCTACTAAAACAGCTCATGGGTACACAAGGTAGTGGAGAGTTCTTTCTGGCCACTCAAACGAGACCTAATACACTGTCTCTCCTTTCACTTCTGCTACAAGCTGGAACGTGGGCAAAGAAAGCCAGACAGACAAACAAGGAAAGGGTCATATCATGATATATCACGATGAGCAGAATGATTATTCATGCAATTCATTTTCCTGAAAGGCCACAGAAGTCTTCCAAGTTTGATTTATTGTAGCATGTCTATATGTAAATAACACATCAAAGCACATTTCTTTCCGCCTGCCTTCTCTCTTCCTCTCTCTCTTTCTTTTAAACTTCTTCCTTCCTGCAGTACTGAGGTCAAAGCTAGGCCCCTGCACATTAGGTGATTGCTCTACCACTGATCTACATACCCAATCCTATGCATACTTCTTTCTGAGTTCTACTTTTCCTTCTAGCCTCTCTCAAAGAGGAACTTTACTGTTTTTAATTTATACTTTGTTTACTTAAAGCAGTGGAATTTATTGCTTAGAACATACTGAGTTACATATTTGTAATATATAACTTACATTTATACGTAACACATTCTGTATGTAACATTTTTTTGAAATAGGGTGTCACTAAGTAGACTATAGAATCCTCCTGCCTTGGTCTCCTGAGTGCTGGGATTAAAGACATATGCCACCATGCCCAGCTTTGCAAAGTATATTTAATACTTTAAATATATATTAAACAAAATTCAAGAAGTATCAAAGGGCATGAAATGAAAAGTCAATCTTCCTTTTATTTATCCCCAGACTCCAGCAGTAATCTTCCTTCCTTGTTTCTTGAAGTACCATTTATGTTTGATTTATACAAAGTTCTAATAAAAAACAAAACCAAAAAAAACAGGCCTTTAAGTATCTTAAAATCTTCTAATCTTTCCAGAGAATTATTGTGTCTTAAAATCAATTTCCGCAGGGCAATGGTGGTGCACGCCTTTAAGTTCAGCACTTGGGAGGCAGAGGCAGGTGGATCTCTTTGATTTTGAGGACAGCCTGGTCTAGAGAGCTAGTTCTAGGGCAGCCAAGGCTACATAGAAAAACCCTGTCTCAAAAAACAAACACCAATTTTCTTTTTTTGTTTGTTTGTTTTTATTTCTGTTTTTCAAGACAGTTTCTTTGTGTAACAGCCCTGGCTGTCCTGGAACTCAGAGATCCACCTGTCTCTGCCTCCCAAGCACTGAGATTAAAGCCCTGTGCCACCACGGCCCAGCCACCAATTTCCTTTTAAGACAATTACAACATAAACACCATTAGGAAATACTTCATTCATTTACTCCTTTGGAAAGAAAACTGGCCATGACTAAATGCAATCCCAACACCTCAGGCTACATTTAGAGGATTTAAGCTCTTCCTCATTTACAAACAAGCACACTTCCCCACATTCTAAGACCCGTCCATTCACGTCAGGACACACAGTGCATTTTTCCCGTGAGATGACTTTGCTACAGTGTTGCAGCTGTTACCGGGTCTTACCTGCAGTTTTCTAGCGCTCTGCTGCTGACACTTGACTCTCTCAGCTCTCCGTTGGTAGAGTCTAGCTCTCAACACACGCAAAGCTATTTCTTTGTTTTTTAGCTGTGATCGTTCTTGCTGGCACTCTACTACCAGTCCTGAAAAACAACAGGAATCAGGTAAAGTATCACTTGTCCTTCCCACAGGTCAAATAAAGCGGAAACGAGGAACATCTTATTGATTGTTATTGGTGACAGGGTCTCACTGAGCAGCCCCGGCTCTACCTCAGGAGTTCTGGAATAAAGGTGTGGACCACCACACCTGGCTGAGGAACACTGTAAGGGGAAAGGTCAATCAGGAAATATGACGAAAGGTAAACAACAGTTTAGATTTAGCACACTTTGGAAATTGTTGGTAATAACTGTATGGGCCTGCTTAGATTCTGATATCTAAATGACATATTTCACCTTTTTCTTATTTCTTTTCTGTTTTCAAGACAGGTACTCACTATGTAATCTTGTTTGTTTGTGGTTTTGGGTTTTTTGTTTTTGTTTGTTTTTTAAAGACAGTTTCTCTGTGTATAGCCCTGGCTCTGTAGACCAAGCTGGCCTTGAACTCACAGAGATCCGCCTGCCTCTGCCTCCCAACTAAGTGCTGGGAGTAAAGATGTATATCACGCGATACCTGCCTTTTTTTAAAAAAAACAAGGTCTCCCTGAAGTCCAGGCAGCCTTAAGCTGGTGAGCAGACATCAGCCCTGTGTTTACAGAGTACCGGGATCACAGGGTGTGCTAAAAGGTGTGACTGAGATCTGCAGATGAGAGCGCTGAGGCAGCAGGCACCGTGTTTACTTTTCTTCTCTGAGCATTTCCTCTCCTTGTTTGCTCTTCCACAAGTAAACTTCTGCCATCCTCCAGGGACTGCTGTCCACCCTGTCCTATCCAGGAAGCACTTGGCCTTTCCTCGTTCAATCACAGACGCACAGAAAGAGGGCTGATGTGGAAAACACACCTTTATGCAATCTGGGGACGTAGCTCAATGACAGGGCATTTGCCAGGTGCGGGTGAAGCCTGGGGTTCACTCCTGAGTGTAGCTACCACCACTGCACTCTCTGCCCCCAACAAAAACAGATGTGGCAGATGTGAGACCCCTGATGGAGGTGCTGAGAACTGCACTCCAGTCCTCTGCAAGAACAGTTTGTGCTCTCTCCAATTGTGTGTGTTCTGACAAATAAAGCTTGCCTGGAGATCAGAGGGCGGAGCTAGCCACTAGTTAACCATAGAGGCCAGGCAGTGGCACACACCTTTAATTCCAGCACTTGGGAGGAGGAAGCAGGAAGATCAGGAGTTCAAGGCCACCCTGGGCTATATGAGATTGAACCAGTCTAAAAGAGAAACAGGGCTGGTGGCTCACACCTCTGATCCCAGCACTTGGGATCTCATCCCTTTAATCCCAGCACTTAGGATCTCCTGCCTCTGATCCCAGCACTTGGGATCTCCTGCCTCTGATCCCAGCACTTGGGATCTCCTGCCTCTGATCCCAGCACTTGGGATCTCCTGCCTCTGATCCCAGCACTTGGGATCTCCTGCTTCTGATCCCAGCACTAGGGATCTCTGTGAGACCAAAATGAGCCATCTTAGAAATAAGACCAAAATGCTTTCACCCTAAAATTAAGGCCTAAGATTTCTCCTTTTGGGAATAGGCCATTAGTTACTGAAACCAGTCAGTTCAGATTCCAGAAACCAGGAAGTGTAAAAGTACAGAGTCACAAGATGATCACAAGGTAATACCTGCCGGACTATGGAATGTCCTCTCCCTGGTTTTCAGGGTAACTGACCATAAAAATGCCCCCACCTGAGGGCAGCCAATGAGAAATGGTGGCGGGCAACCACTCCCTTAGAAGTAAGATTACACCATGATTTCTAGAAAGCCCCTAGAAGCGAGCCAATCAGAATTGTACCCGTACTAGCACCCCTAAACGATGTAACCTTGTGATTTTTCCCTTTAAAAACTGAGCTTGCAGATAGGTGGGCGCTTCCTCCAGCCTCCACTCCGTTGGGTGCATTGGACAAAGTCCCTGCCTAGGCTTGTATTGCTTTTGGATATCCCAGAATTAAACCTTGCTTTTGCATTCCGGCATGCTCGTCTTTGGTGGCCTCTCTGTGGGTCACGATCTGGGCACAACACTCCTGCCTCTGATCCCAGCACTAGGGAGGTAGAGACAGGAGTATAAGGCAAATGGAGACAGGATCTTGGTGCCCATGCTGTTTGAGGATTCGTAGAGACGAGACAGGTTCACCCTCCCATTCCTTCTGAGATTCCTTAGAGGTAAGGGCTCAGAGCAGGACTGCTCTGCTTCTCTGATCTTTCAGCTTTCACCCTCACTATCCGACTCCGGGTTTTTTGTCAAGACTAATTAGAATCCCGCTTCAGTGCTTGCTCATCAAGCGTTAGGACCAGAGTTTGGATCCTAGCACCCATATAACGAGCCAGGTGTCCCGCAAACACCTGTAATTCCAGCTCTTTAGGATCAGACAGACTCCTTCTGGCCTTCATGCATGAAGAGACATGCATACCTGCATACACAGACACAGACACAGACACACACACAATTATTACTTTCATTAGTAACTTAAAAAGAAATGAAAATTTAAAAAGAAAAATTGTTTTAGTCCCAAAAATGATGCTTATACACTACATAACAACTTGGCCAATGACAGTCTGCACATACAATAGTTGTCCTATAAAATCTTATTACCAGCAAGAGTTATCTTAGTTTGTGATCATTTATAATTTCACCCAGTGGTAAAACTGTGTAATGATGCATTTCTCAGAATGTATCCCTATTGTGAACCAATGTATTTAAAATCACCTTAACAAATTAAAAAGAAAGCGTACAATTTATCAAGGTGACCAAGTGGCCAATATTGAGGGCAGCAGAGCCTCATGGCACTAGCAATTCATCTACAAGATGAGACAGGATCCACAGCAATGGCATGTCCATGCTATATCTGTTCCCTTCAGAACTGAGCACGGCTCATGGAGCACAGCTCATGGAGCACGGCTGTCCAGCATACCCAAGCACTTTCCTGGACAGATATGCTTGCGCCTGCATCCTTCAAGGGAGGAACTGTTTCCAAACGGAAGGAGAAAACAGAGCCACAATGCCATTGCTATCCTTAAAAGTTTTGTGCAAAGACCTGTAAATCTATTCTAATATATAATACTTGTTCTCAGTTGGTGGAACTGTTTGGAAAGGATTAGGAGGTGTGGCCTGATTGGGCAGGGGTGTCACTGGGTGGGTTTTAAGGTTTCAAAGCCCACACCATTCAGTTAGCTCTCTGCCTTGTGCTTGTGGATCAAGACACGAGCTCCCAGCTACTGCTCCAGTGCCATGCCTGCTGCCTGCTGCCTGCTGCCATGCTCCCAGCCATGATGGTCATGGACTCTGACCCTCTGATGCCATGAGCCTAAATCAAACACTTTCTTTTATAAGTTGCCTTGGTCATGGTGTCCTATCACAGCAATAGAAAGTAACTAAGACAAAAGCAAAGGACTTGCTCACCTGTGGGGATGTGGACAAGCCTCACAGCACTGTCTGTTGTGTTAACATGCTGCCCTCCTGCTCCTTTGGATCGAAATGTGTCTATTCGTAGGTCCCTGGGATCCACTTTCACATCTACCTAGGACAAAATATATAGCATCATTAAATTCCACAGATAATTTATTCTGAGATTTTTCAAGTAAACTAAATATTTATGAAACCATTAATTAAAAACATAAAGAAAAAGAAATGATACCAAAGAAAGAACCATAAATGACCTATTTCTCTCTGTGTGTCCCTTCCCCTTTGTTTGAGTGTGTTTACTGGTGGGCCACATTTTAATTCCTTGAACTTTATTTGAAAAGCAGATCTGAGAAGACATAACTGAGTTCAGAAGAAGAGTACAGGGCTGGTGAGATGGTTCCGCAGATAAAGGCATTTGCTGCTGAGGCCGAAGACTTGAACTCCACTCCTGGGACCCACATAGTAGGAGAGAATCGACTCCATGAGTTGTCCTCTGACCTCCATATGCAAGCTATGGGACACATGTGCTCACTCACATACAGACACACAAATATGTAAATGTAAATAAAAACTTTTTTTTAAAAGACCATACTAGATTATCTGGATAGATTCTAAATACAATCCTAAGTGTCCTGACAAGACCCAGAGTTCCCTGTGTAGAGAAGACCACATGAATTCAAAGTAGAGGCTAGAGCTGTCCATCTTCAAACCAAAAGAACACCAGGAGCTTCTTAAAGCTGGAAGCACAAAGGATACTATCCCTTCAGAGCGATTAAGATTATGCTGTCACCTTGATATTGGACCATACGCCTCTATGATTGTGAAAGTAAATTGTTGCTGTTTTTGTTTATTTATTTATTATATTTATGTGTGTGTGTGTGTGTGTGTGTGTGTGTGTGTGTGCACAACAGCATGTGTGTGCCATGGCATACTTGTGGAAGTCAGAGGACAACTTGTGGGAGTTAATTCTCTCCTTCCACCATGTGGATTCCAGGGATTAAACTCAGGTCATCAGGCTTGGCAACAAGTACTTTTAGCTAGTAAGTTATCTCGACAGTCCCTGTGACTTCTTTTTTAAATGAAAGAAAATAAACAAAACGTTATAGGGATAATAAGGCTGATTTACCTGGGGAAGAGTTAAAGATTCTCTTATATTTTTGGTTGTGAGCCTAGCCTTTAATGGCTGGGCCATCTCTCCAGCCCGAGTTAAAGATTCTCAATAAAGACTATTAAGTTCAATTGTCAACCAAGAAAACAGACTTTCCTTCTAGGGTTTCTCAGCACAATATACATCCCACGGAGCCAGTTTCCCTGGGCCCTGGTGAAGTTACCTCATCGGGCTGAGGAAGGACAATAACTGACATCGTTCCTGTGTGAATACGCTGCATCCTTGATGACAGGCCCACCTCTGGGATTCGCTGAACTCTGTGGATTCCACCTTCATACTTCAAATGCTTATAGACACTGTCACCGGAAATGCGGGCAGCTGCATGATGCAGTCCACCTAGAGAAAAGGTTCATAAATACTAGTGCAGTCTACTTGGAAAGAGACTGGGCTTGTAGCTATCCGTAATCTAAGGCCTGACTGTGCATATAGCACCTGAAGTGGGAACCTGAAATAGATATCAGCTATACTGTCCAATGTAGAATATATTAATATGTAAAACAAAACATAAAAGATATTACTTGTGGTTATCTCTGGGGAGGTGAATAATAAATAGTGCATTTTATATTTTACTCTTTGTACCTTTTTTTTTTTTTTTTTTTTTTTTTTTTGAGATAGGGTTTTGCTATGTAGCCCAGGCTGGCCTTAAACTCACAATACTGCTTCAGCCTCTGGAATGCTGGGATTACATCTGGCTTGTACTTTTTGGATTCAAACTTTTCTATAAAGAGCAACTTTTACTTTTATAATATTAAGAAAAATACCATTAAGAAAAATGGACTACTGGGACATTTTCTGCATTCAGTTACCTGTAAATTTTTAGGCAAATATGTGCCATACATTAGAAAACGCTCCATAACATAATTTCATACTATTGAATATCTTTAGCCCTTCTAAGTTTCAAGAATTAAAAGTTAATACTTGGGCCGGGCGGTGGTGGCGCACGGCGCACGCCTTTAATCCCAGCACTCGGGAGGCAGAGCCAGGCGGATCTCTGTGAGTTCGAGGCCAGCCTGGACTACCAAGTGAGTTCCAGGAAAGGCGCAAAGCTACACAGAGAAACCCTGTCTCGAAAAACCAAAAAAAAAAAAAAAGTTAATACTTACCTGTGATGTGGAAATATTCTCACACATACAAAACATCTTAGTGCTTTGGCTTTAGCTTCTTATCTAACAGTTTTTAATTTTTTTTTATGATATAAGAAGACTTTTTTTTTCTTTTTTCATTTCTTTCTTTTTATCTTTTTTTTTTTCTTTCTCTTTAGGTCTCACTACATAGACATGGTTATCCTGGAACTTACTATGTAGACCAGGCTGGTCTCAAACTCAGAAATTCACCTGCTCGTGCCTGCTGAGTGCTGGGATTAAAGGTGTGTGCCGCCATGCCTCGCAAGGGAAATAATTTTAAGAGTGTGAATTTGAGATAGGAAATTTAAATTTGTCATGGCTTCACTCTGTTTCAGTTCCTGGGTATCTTTTACAGTACAACCTTAACACACTGAATGGGAATGTTCACGTTTTTATATGATATCATCTGTCCACTAGTGTGTGTAAATTGAAGAAAGTAGAAAGTGACCATGGGTAACTCACTGTGATGATTAAAGTGTCAACTTGACACAACCTAGAATCACTAGGAAGAGAGTCTCAATGAAGGACTGTGCAGATCAGACTGGACTGTAGGCATATGTGTAGGTGATTATCTTGATTGCCTTAACTGATGTAGGGAGACCTGGCCTGAAGGTGGGTAGCACCATTCCCTAGCTACCCTGTACTTTATCCTAAATCAAACACTTGAATTTATGTAACTGGAGACTCCTACAACTTTTCCTGTATAAATGAATAGAGCCAGTATCAGGCTGACTGAGTTTCAATTAAATTCCTTTCTTCCTAGCCATATGCAGTCAGCTAGCTTACATAACTAGTCCAAGCTTTGGCTCTCTTATTTGTATTTTTGGTTGTGAGCCTAGCCTTTAATGGCTGAGCCATCTCTCCAGACCGGTTCCCTTATTTGTAAATCATCACCATCATCATCATCACCACCACCACCATCATCTACATCTATGGCGCTATACAGATAGAGGAACTATTTATTCAACTGATTACCTGAGCATTGAGGGGTCTTAAGGAATGTGTAGGCATATGACATATTTTTTAGTTCAATCTACTTATCAAGAGATTTTTGCAGGGGAAAACAGAAGCATATTTAGAGCATTAAATAAATGCTGACATTTAGCTGTGAAACAGATCATCCACTGGCTCTCCTGGACTAATATGCCATCTTCTGGAAGAAAAGGCTAACAAGATTCCTGCTACATAAATTTCAAAAGGTGGCTGAAAAGTTGATACACCCTACAGTGGTAGGTCTCAACCTGTGGGTCACAACCCATTTGGGGATCAAACAACTGTTTCATGGGTTTCGCCTAAGACCATTGGAAAACACAGATATTTACAATTCTTAACAGTAGCAAAATTGCAGTTATGAAGTAGCAATGAAAATAATTTTATGGTTGGGGTCACCACAACATGAGGAACCGTATTAAAGGGTCACAGCATTAGGAAGGTTGAGAACCACTGGTCTAGAGTAAGGTAATGAAGGTACATTGCTGGACTTCCCAATCTGTACCAATCACAGTTTACTAATGCAGCATATTAATTTCCATTTCCCTCTGCTGTTTACCTTAATTAATCCTTTTCTAAAGGTCATCTTCCAATTGTATTTTATTAGTACTATTATTTTTAAAATTTAAAAATCTTATGTACCTGTGTATTTTGTCTTTATGTCTGTCTGTGTATTATGTGCATGCCTGGTGCTCTTAGAAGCCAGAAGAAGGTGTCGATCCTCTGGGACTGGAGTTACAGATGGTTGTAAATTGTGAATCTCCATGTGGGTGCTGAGAATTGAACCCCGTCCTCTGAAAGACAACTAGTGCTCTTAACTACTGAACTATCTCTCCAGCATCACCCACACTGTATTTTATAGAGTAGTAAGTGCTCTTAACAACTGAGCCATCTCTCCAGCCCCTCAATTGTATTTTATAAAGGTGTTTTTTTTAATAGTTTTTAAAGTTTTTATTTTTATTTTTTTAATCTTTTACTTATTGAGACATGGTCTTACTATATAGCTCTGCCTCACCTAGAATTTGATATGTAGACCAGGCTAGCCTCAAACTCACAGAGATTTGCCTTTCTCTGTCTCCTGGGTACTGGAATTAAAGATGTGGACCAGCATGCCTGGTTCTTTGCTTTAGTTTAGGAGAGGTAGATAATCTAGTTTCCACAGGAGTTTTTTCTTTAATTTACATATTCCTTCTTAGGAGCACAGTTCCCTTCCTGATCTCTTCGATTTAGTTAAGAACTTTACTGTAGGCCAGATGTGGTAGCGCACACCTTTAGTCCCAGCATTACAAGTAAAATAAGTTTTAGCACTTCTAATAGACAAAGTCTTCAATTTATGCTTACCATAATCTGCTGGTGTGTAATTCAGCAGCTCAAATTTCCAGTGTTTGTAGTATGAATAATTCTGGTACATATCAAATATTTCTCTAGTAAACTGTTGACAGATATCACCTAAAAGAAAATACACAAAATATTCAGTAAGCACAAATATTAAAGGGCGCATCCTTAGATAAAAGCACTCAGGAAATATTTCCAAAACTAAACACATGCAATGGGCTTTTCAAGTACAGTGATGTCAAACCAAGTAAAATTCTGTTTTTAAAATGCATCTACAATAAGCTGATGTTACTGACCTCCAGTAGTTCTCCCAGATGTCACTTCTAAAATAACGTCACTTCTGTCGTGTTTCTCCTTTGGCACTAGATGCTCCAGAAGCTGGAAAAGATGGGAAATGCAATCACTAATGTGTTTATTTTCCCTGGTATATTATCACTTCAAGTTAAATCAAAGCCCTCAAAGTATATTTTAGAAGTCAATAATTAACAAAACCATGTAATATCCCAAGAAGGTAAGTCATAAAACCAGATCTTAAATAACCTGATTAGATAATCAATTCACATAACAATGAAGTTACTTGTCTGAGTATTTTCTGCAATGTTATCAGATTATCCTAATTTTCTAAAATGAAGTTAATTAAGATCAAAGTTCAGAGTGTTCCATTCAACTTTGTTCAAATTTTGCCTCTTAAATTAGTTCTAAACAGTAGCATCTTTCATCTGATGAATGAAGCAAGGCTTTGAAATCTTCATTTACTCCAAATGAAGACTTTTAACAAGTAATTACATAGTCTCCCCTGTCATAAATGCTGGTCAGCACCATGCCACACCTTGCATTCTTGGTGGGGTCATTTTGTTTAAAGACTATGTTAAGAGGACTCAAGATAAGATTCAAATAGTTTCTCACATGTAACAAGAAAAAAAGGGTGGGGGTGGGGTGGGGTCCTGACTTCCTCCTAGTAAAGAGTTTTCCTCTTAGGAAGAATAGGAAAACAACCTCCTGGTTATTAAAAGTTCTTTCAAATCAAACTAAAAAAGTACCTACACGTTATGACTCTCCTCCCTACTGCCAACTTCTGAAACACTCCATCTCTGCTAGAAATGACAGTCTGTGGGAGAGAATGTTAGACATGTTTTGCCTGTAGTTCACTAGGTGATCTCTCTAGACACCCCTCTAAGTCCCCAGAAACTGGATCCACAGTAAGAAAGTTGGAGGGACAATGATGATGGCTACCACCGAGGGAAACATGGTACACGGCACTATGTCTTCATTGTCTTTAAAAACAAGCCACCGCCTGGCGGTGGTGGCGCACGCCTTTCATCCCAGCAGAGCCGGGAGGATCTCTGTGAGTTCGAGGCCAGCCTGGTCTACAAAGCGAGTTCCAGGAAAGGCGCAAAGCTACAGAGAGAACCCCTGTCTCAGAAAAAAAAAACAAACCACCTGCTGAACTAGAAGAAAAGAGGCTACTTTGCAGAATTTTCCCTTTTATAAAATCTAGAGTATCAGCTACAGCGGATACAGTATCATGAAGCCTGAGAGTCCCCAGCATGCCACAGTCCCCACTAAAGACCTGTGCTAACTAGCTGGTGCTACACTTAGATTCACTCCATCATATTCAGCATGCAAGTTTTCAATCTGACCGTCACCATGAACCTACCTATTCACTTCCAACACTTAAAACCATCTGACTTCTCCCCATGGTGACTACATTTATTTTTAAGATTTTACCCATTTATATTTTTATCTGTGTGGATAAATCCATTCCATATGGATGTCAGAAGACAACTCAAGGGAGTTAGTTCTCTCCTGTCGTCTTGTCTGATACATTAGAACTCAGGTTGTTAGGTCAGGTGTACACAGACCATCTGCTGAGCCATCTCATTGGTCTCCTAAATTTCCTTACCACAGTATTACGTTTTCCTGTCTAACAAGTCAATAGACTCTGCTATGAATTTTCTCTCCCTACAGAAGACCCCATTCACTAACACCTCAATTTCTCTTCCAATTATCCTTCAGCAAACTGTACTAAGTATAGCTTAATTACCCACTGTGTTAAAAGAACACTGTTAGGGGAAGTTATTTTGAGCATCAAAACATAATCTAGAAAAAATACTATTCCTTCATATTAGCTCTATTAGGATTAGTATGCTGCCTGAAACATACCTCACTATACAGTGTGTTGATCTTCTGATCAATGATTTGCCTTTCTTCTGATACAAGTTCTTGCAACTGCTTTTCATCTTGTTTATTTAGACCTAAAACCAGCAACAAGGAGAATAGTAAATTCTTTAAAAATTCTTACAGAGAAAGTATTAAATAACTACCTCACCAATATCTACAAAGTTTTTTGTTTGTCTTGAGATAGAGTCTCATTATGTAGTTCAGGCTGGCCTTGACCTCCTTGTCTTCTTGCCTCAGCCTCCTAAAACCCTATGGGGGAGGTGAGGGGGTGTCCCTGTGAATACTACAGCTGATGGAGAAACAAACTGAGAGAAGCAAGAAGGAAACCTGGTTCAGCTTGACTAAGTTAGCCAGGCTGGTTCAACTTCTGGAGTCTGGTACCAGGCCAGTTTATTTTAGTCATATTTAAGTACAGTACAATGCTATGGATGATTGGTTGATAAATAAAACACTGATTGGCCAGTAGCCAGGCAGGAAGTATAGGCGGGACTAGCAGAGAGGAGAATTGAGAGAACAGGAAGGCAAAGAGGAGGAAACGCCAGCCTGCCTTCCAGGAAGCATCATGTAAAGACAGCAGGTAAAGCCACAGAATACGTGGCAAAGTATAGATTAATAGAAATGGGCTGAGTATAAGAGTAAGAGCTAGACAATGGTAGGCCTGAGCTAATGGCCGAGCAGTTTAAATAATATAAACGTCTGTATGTTTACTTTATAAGTGGGCTATGGGACTGCCAAGGCTTGGTGGAGCCCAGAGAGGAAAACACTAGCTACAGTACAATTCTGGGAAAAAAGTTTCCTGGTAACAATTATCCCAATCCCATGTGGACAATAAAGCTTAAGGCATGACTATATCAATACTCTTTTTGCAAAACACGCATAAGTACATCTTACAAAATAACATGGGTTCTATAGCTTAAGGGTCTCGATCACGTGATCATGCAGATAACGTAGGAGTTAGCAGGCTATAAAGTACATGTGGTATCTCCTCTAATCATGGGTTCTATTGACTGAGAAACAAAGTTAAAGATAAAGGTCTAGGGAGGGAGACTGTGGCATAAACATTCTGGGGGATTTGGGTGAGGCCTGGCCCTAAGTATAGCAAAGGTCACCATGTTATTAACAATATCCAAACAAAACAGAAAGTAGATATTACAACTAAATACAAAGCTTTCTTTGAGGTTCTTACAATATGTAGTGTCAACAGGCAGCTTCCATCTATCCCTGTGTATTTCTTTAGTAGACTAGGGATCACATCATCAATAACATGTATTCTCTCATATCACACCATACAAGCCCTGAATGAGAGAGGAACTATCATTCTGTATTCCTGTATGAAGAACAGTGCTCAGTAAATTAACTTACGATGATGATACCAAGTCTCTCATACTCTAAACCTCTTGCTAAGTACCATAAAGAACCTGGACTCTTACCAGATCCTGAGCAACTGAAATGTGTCAAACACCGAGTGAGGATACAGTCCTTCTCTTGCCAAGTCTTGAGCTTATTCTCTGCAGGCTTTTTAAAAGACAGAGTTCAAAGTTCAGTTACACACTTCTACACACACAGACATCATTTACCTACTTTTACACATCGACTCTAACTCTTCAATGGCTTGTTTGGCCTCCTGAATTTCTTGATAAACAGCAGCCAGTGGCGCCAACTCAGCATGCCTTCTGTGCAACGCCCTTCGGTCTCCTTCACTCTCAGGGATCTCCTGCAAACGCTGGTCAAGGGTTTGGTACTCTTTATTCAGGTCTTCCATATACTTCTGTAGGGCTTTATGTTTCCAAAGCATCTTTGTATCTTGATGACAGAAGCCCCTGGGCCAACTCTTATTTAATAGCTGATGGAGAACGTGACTCTTGTTTTGTCTGAAATTCCACAGCCTTGTATCAAGACTGACCTGTCTAAACGGCTGACAACAGAGGAAGATGCGTCTCTGGGGGCAAACATTAAGAGATGGATGCCGCAAAAGCCACATACACAGGTGACGACTCATCTCAGCAGCTGTAATGTAAGATGTACAGTTTGAAAAGAGCAACTCCAAAGATATATGCTATAATAAAACTTGGAGTTTCAGAGAAACCTTTAGTTCATGGCCTCATTTAGCTCCAAAGACAGTCAATAACTCAGAAAGATAGACACACACACACACACACACACACGCACGCACGCATAAATGTACGTGTGTGTATATATGTATATAAATATATATAGTTTTAAATTTTTTTACTTATTTATTTATTTATTCATTTTGAGAATGAGTCTCACTATGTAGCTCTGGCTGCCCTAGAACTCACTCCGTAGACCAAACTGGCCTTGAACTCAGAGATCTGCCTGCCTCTGCCTCCCAAATGGTGGGATTAAAGGGAAATGCCACCAGGCTGAGTCTACAAAGAAAACTCTTGAAACCTCTAAATAACAGTACGTTAAAACAAGTGAAGGGATGGTAAGATAGCCCAGAGAAGAATAGTACCGAGAGCCAATTCTGACAGCCTCGGAATTCAATCCCTGGGACACACACGACAGAGAGAGGGACCTGACTACTGAAAGTTGCTGACCTGCATACCTGTGCTGTGGCATGCACACCCCACACATGCGCACATGCACACAAAAAGAGTAACCTTACATATGCAATCCACTAGGACAAGCGAGTAGGGATATAACTAACAAACACATCACCACAATGGGTGAGGGCAGTTTTAACTTTAAATGAGTATATAAACAAACATTTAAAAGCGATAAAATAGCCGGGTGGTGGTGGCGGCGGCAGCGGCGGCGGTGCACGCCTTTAATCCCAGCACTCAGAGGCAGAGCCAGGCGGATCTTTGTGAGTTCGAGGCCAGCCTGGTCTACAGAGCAAGATCCAGGGAAGGCACAAAACTATACAGAGAAACCCTGTCTTGAAAAACCAAATAAATAAATAAATAAATAATAAAAAATAAAAGCTATAAAATAGCTGGGCGGTGGCGGCACATGTCTTTAATCTTGGCACTTGGGGGACTGGAGAGATGTCTCAGAGGTTAAGAACATTGATTGTTCTTCCAGAGGTCAATTCCCAGCAACCACATGGTGGCTCTCAACCATCTATAATGAGATCTGGTGCCCTCTTCTGACATGCAGACAAAACACCGTATACATGATAAATAAAATAAATCTTAAAAAAAAAAAAAAAAAATTCCAGCACTTGGGAGGCAGAGGCCAGCACTTGAGTTCAAGGCCAGTCTGGTCTACAGAGTGAGTTCCAGGACAGCCAAGGTTACACAGAGAAACCCTGTCTCAAAAAACAAAACAAAAGTTATAAAATAATGATGCAGTCTTTAGGTGGTTCATAGTCATAGATTTCTCAAGTTTGAGGAATATATTAACATGTCAACTATTATCTAGTTTAATTGTTTATAAAAGGGTTTTGCTATATTGCTCAGGCTGGCTTCAAACTGGGGGCCTCCTGCTTCAGCTTCCCAAATGCTGGATCACAAATGCAGATCAACATGTCTGGATAAACTTAAATGGGCAATTTTACTGTACCGATTAATTGATTTATTATTATTATTTTTATCATAGAAAGTGTGTGTGTGTATGAATGAGGAGGGGGAGGGAGGGAGAGAGATAATGACGGGCCCCAGGACCTTCCACATGCTAGGCAAGCACTTTGTTTTAACTGTTTAATTTCAGGGCATTCAGATGGGAAAGAAAGTCAGGTAACTTAATCACAACTCTTCACTCACTGGACAGAAGCAGAGCCTGTGTTATAACATAGGCTGTTTATTCCAAGATCAGGGTTTTTCATTCTCAACCCTGCGATTGCTTCTTGAGGATGCTTCTCTTTTAGCTGAGAACCTAAAGGAAGAGATCCTTAAATATTAAAAGGCCAGGTTGTGGTTTACAGGTACCTTTTAAGTTTTCCTACTTTCCCAAGTCTTTTACACAGTACACAGTATTTTCATAATTTTAAGCGTTACATAAGACTACCAAGCTGGAGAGATTTTTGACAATTAAAAAATTGTCCTCTTGCACAGGACCAAGGTCAGCACCTGCACAGTGGCTCACAACTGCCTGTAACTCCTATTCCAGGAGATTGATCTGACTGACACCCTCTTCTTGCTTCTGCCTGGGCACCAAGCATGCATGTGGTGCACATACATACATGCTGGTACTCAAACAGACAAAAATATTTTATTCTAAATGACAGGTTAGGTGAAATTGGCTATGTACAATAAATTATGTGCTCTTCCTTCAGATAATCAGGAGCTAACAGAAGAATACTAAGACTTTATCGAGCAAGAGATGGGACACAAAGTTTTCTAAGAAAAATGTTTTGCCTCCTGAAATTAAAACTGAAAATAAGGGCTGAAACGTAGCCGAATGGCCTGGGGCTGTAGTTCAGTGGTAGACCACTTGCCTAACATGCACAAAAAAAATTACCATAAGCAGCCTTTACTACAAGTGTTGTTGCTGTGCTGGGCTACCCATTTATTTATAAGCCCCCCTGATCTCACTAAATCCAACATCATTATCATTTAAAAAATTAAATATTCAGAATATTCAGCGTTTGCTGGGTTTTACTAATAAATTTAACAAATTATTAGTTAGTCACAGCGGGAACTGGTGAATACATCAGGAGTGTCCATTGGACGGTGAGAAGAAGAAAGGGATGGCAGATTTTTGTAATAACAGTTCTGGTTAAAATTTCCACTTTGGAGGCCGGGCGGTGGTGGCGCACGCCTTTAATCCCAGCACTCGGGAGGCAGAGGCAGGCAGATCTCTGTGAGTTCGAGGCCAGCCTGGTCTACAAAGCGAGTTCCAGGAAAGGCCCAAAGCTACACAGAGAAACCCTGTCTCGAAAAACAAAACAAAACAAAACAAAAAATTCCACTTTGGGAGCAGCCATGGAATGAGTAACTGTCAAGGTCAGAAGCCTTAATGTTACTTTCTAAGGTTACCTAAACCTAGAAAGAGCAAGGCTTCGACATCATCCCCACAACACAACACAATAATACTCATCGTTTCTGGCATGTTAAAAGTGACACTAGACGGGAGCCAGGAGCGGGATGGGAAAATCATATTGTATACGTCAGTATTATGGAGCGATTCTACACGGAAGTAGCCCCAGTGGGCAGTGGGAAAAGAATAAAGTCCTCTTAAGGCTAAAGAAGAATTGTGAATACCTAAGTAGAAGAAGAAAAACGACGTTCTCGTTTCTTACTGATAATTGAACCTTCTGTGTCCGCAACATTTCAGCTCAAGGTACTGCAAACACGCTCATTTCCAGGCTACTGCTTCCGGGTTACGTTTGTACTTGGCTCCTCCTCCATTTTGACGCTTCTTGCAGAATAGTCGCTCTTAGGTGTCCGTATCAGTAAACAAGAATGAAATGATGAAGCGAGAAGGAGATTCTTGTGGAAAGCCCACGCGCCGAACTTACTTGGAGCTGTAGCCCAGGAGGTGTGATGGCCAGAAGGAGCGAAGGGAGCAGATCACCCTCTCCTGTTCCCTAACCAAGGAATCCTGGGAGTTGTAGTTTATACTTCCCCAGGGCCCCTTGATCCCACCCAAGCCCCTTGAATCCTGGGAGTTGTAGTTTATACTTCCCCAGGGCCCCTTGATCCCACCCAAGCCCCTTGCTCCATCCTCCACTATAAGCAGTTACTTGCAAACCTAGAAGCGAGACTTTATCCTAATGTAAACAATAAATTCTACAATATATCATAGATGAGATCACGGGAATTTATTTACGTGTTACGATCCCTTAAAGCAGTAGTTTCTAAGTTACTATTTTTTTTTTAATTCTTTTCAAGATTTATTTATTTATTATGTATACAGAGTTCTGCCTGCATGTATGTTTGCAGGCCACAAGAGGGCACCAGATCTCATTACAGATGGTTGTGAGCCACCATGTGGTAGGTGGGAATTGAACTCAGGACCTCTGAAGGAGCAGTCAGTGCTCTTAACCTCCGAGCCATCTCTCCAGGCCCTAAGTTAGCAAGTTACTATTTTTTAAGAGTGCAGGAGGCTGAAGCTAGCAACTCCTGCATGCTAGACAAGAGCGCTATCATTGAGATATATCCACAGACTTGAGGGTTTGTTTTTTAAATGGGACTTCTTTTTCCTCAATCATTAAAAATTTTAGGCAAGGAGCTGGAGAGATGGCTCTTCCAGAGGTCCTGAGTTCAATTCCTAGCAACCACATGGTGGCTCACAACCATCAATAATGAAATCTGGACGGGCGGCGGTGGCACAAGCCTTTAATCCCAGCACTAGGGAGGCAGAGCTGGGCGGATCTCTGTGAGTTCGAGGCCAGCCTGGTCTACAGAGCAAGCTCCAGGAGAGGCACCAAAACTACACAGAGAAACTCTGCCTTGAAACCCCCCCCCAAAAAAAAAACCGAAATCTGGTGCCTTCTGGCATACAGGTACACATGCAAGCATAACACTGTATATATACACAATAAATAAATGGATCTTAAAAAAATTTTAGGTGATTCTGCATTTCAATTGTCACACTTTCAGTCAGTATTGTTTAAAACACTGAGTAAAGAAAACTATAAATTTGTATTTTTAAAATTCATGATAGGACCCAAAAGATAGGTGACTTTATCTACAAGTTACAGATTTTTTAGATGAGGTTGCATCCACATGTGTTTTGGGACTCAAGGCTAGCTTGAGCTACATGAGCGCCTGTCTCGAAAGAAAGAAAGAAAGAAAGAAAGAAAGAAAGAAAGAAAGAAAGAAAGAAAGAAAGAAAGAAAGAAAGAAAGAAAGAAGAAAGAAAGAGAAAGAGAGAAAGAAAGAGAAAGAAAGAAAGAAAGAAAAATAAAGACAGGAAATCCAAACATGTAAAAACAGTAGGATATAGTTCTTAGCTGTCACATTTACAAGTAATAAGATAATCTCTATGATTCCACAGCTACACTAAAATGTGAAGGTAAGTGTATACCATATCTCTGGCTTTAGTAGATTTGGGGGTGGGGTGTCTAGATAGAATTTCCCTGTGTAGCCCTGACTGTCCTGGAATTCACTCTGTAGACCAGACTGGCCTCAAATCCAAGATCTAAAGGCATTTGCCACCCTTGCCTAGCATAGCAGATATTTTCTTAAATTGTGACCACTTACACAAAAAAAAAGGAAATTAGAGGTAGGTATGATTACACTCATAATCCCAGCACTTGGGAGGCTGAGGGAGGGAAGTCTTTAATTAGTTTGTGGCAACCTGGGCTAAATATTAGGTTATAAAGGTAGCCAGGGTCCAGGTTCATGATGGGCAGCAAGATGGCTTCCACCGGTAGGGTCTTGTAGGTAATAAAGCCACATGCTCTATTAATAAGATTTCCTGACAGAAGAGACAATCCTAAACTCTGTTGCAGAAGCTTTGGTATCCGGGGGGCCACTCTCTCACTCATCTATGATTCCACAGCATTCTAAAGGAAGTACATCCCCAGATTTGCTGATGCATCAGGGGCCACCAGACAAGTAGACATAATAAAAAAACGGTACCTCAGAAATACCAAAGGAAACCTGTGTCTCAAGAAGAAATGGAATTTATCCAGCATGGAGGTCCAGAATGATCACTGTGACTGCTGTTTGTAATCAGACAAAAGGATTATCTTTACAATAAAGGACTTTCAAAATGGCAAATGAAAATTATATATATATATATATATAAAACCTTAGTAAATATTCTGCAAAAAGAATGATGTATAGACCCTCTGGATGGCCACTTGTATCTCCTCTTTTAAGTATTTTAGTCAGCTTCTCCACAAGCTGACCTGTAGACTTATTAAAGTCTACATCATTTTTAAATGTTTAAAAAAAAAAAAAAAGAAAAGAAAAGCTAGCCGGAATTACATAACAAGACTTGCACTAAATAAATAAATAAATAAATGAAAGAAAGATGGAGGGAAAGGAAAAAATAGAAAACTAACATACAAGAAATTACTATTTAACATTTACTAGTTTGTACTTCAAAGTAGTTACTTTTTTTTTAAAGGCGTGTGCCACCCACCACCGCCCAGCTCAAAGTAGTTACTTCTACCTTTTCTATACTAGTCACTACTCTAAATGGTTTAAACCTATTAATGTATGTATTTCTACAACAACCTTAAAAACCCATTTGCCTGCCGGGCGGTGGTGGCACACACCTTTAATCCCAGCACTCAGGAGGCAGAGGCAGGCAAATCTCTGTGAGTTCGAGGCCAGCCTGGTCTACAAAGCGAGTTCCAGGAAAGGTGCAAATCTACACAGAGAAACCCTGTCTCGAAAAACCAAAAAAAAAAAAAAAAAAACCAAAAAACCCATTTGCCTATTTGCATGCGAGCAAACTAAAGCACAGTGAGTTTAAATAGCCGTCCTGGGCTACATAGTGTCAGACCTACCTGGGCAACAGGGAGTCCTTGTCTCAAAAAAACACCAGCTCAGGAACATACACATAGAACTTAAGAATTTGATATCTGCTGGCGGGTGGTGGTTTCCAAAGTTTCAGTTCATGGCCACCTTATTTTGGGGCCTGTGGCAAGGCAGAACATTATAGCAGGGAGTATGTTGTTAAGTCTGTTCTCATAATAACTGAGAAGCAAAGAGAAGAGAAGAGGGGCCAGCACTCTAGTATTTCCTTCTAGAATATACCCCTAGATCTAAATTTCTCCAGAAGTTTCCACCATTCCCAAGAATCTCAGGTAGAATGCAATATGCAACCTAGTAAATTGTTGTTTTAATTACTTTTCTATTGCTGTGAAGAGACACCATGGCCAAGGCAAGTCTTAAAAGAAATATTTAACTGGGGACTTGCTTATAGTTTCAGAGGGTGAGTTCATGACCACCATGGTGGGGAGCATGGCAGGAGACAGGCAGGCATGGTGCTGGAGCAGAAGATGAGAGTCTACATGTTGAAACAACAACCATGAGGCAGAGGGAGAGCTAACTAGGAATGACATGGGCTTTTGAAACCTCAAACCCCACCCCACCAGTGACAGTGACACACCTCCTCTAACAAGACCACACCTCCTAATCCTTCCCAAACAGTTCCACCAACTGGGGACAAAGTGTTCAAATACATGAGCCTATAGGAGTAGGAGCATTCATTCAAATCACCAGTTGTCTCCTTTAATAGTATGGTTAAGCTGGTTGTGGGAAAAGTATCAAACTGCTAGATGTTACCGTGTCAGCTAGTCACATAAAACATGTACATGGTGCAGAGAAAAACATCCTTTTTCAATTATTTTGTCTTCCTTGACTCTACTAGGCATACCAAAGAGAATCATGGTCCATATGATGTATGTAAAAATAAATTGGGAACTTTGGAGGCTCTCATCATTGTTATTGCTATTATTTTTCTTAATGCAAGATTCTCAAGGAGGTACAGTCTGTCTGAAGCGCCAGGAAAGAACCTTTAGCTAGAAATCCCAGATGTTCCCAAACAGGATTGGGTTTTCTTTCTGAGAAACACTGGGTTCTGATTTACACAGCATTTTTCTTTTAATTTTGGCTTTGAAATGACCAAGCATTAAATTCATATAAACCTGTTGTAAAACAGATTACAATAATGTTATAACTCCATTTCCTGTTGAAAGGTAGAAATAAGATTCATTCCAGATAAAACAGGAAGCCAGTAATAAAATTGCAGCTACTGCTTTGTTTAGGCTTTCTGGTCGTGCCAACATTGTATCTTTTACGTGTTCTAGGATCTTAGAACAGCCAGCAATACCACTAGTGGAGGATTTGTTTTGTTTCTAATTCCTGCCCTTCTGTCTTACCCCACCATAGCCTAAACAACTAAGGGACGCAGGGAAGAGGGATGAAGATGATGGTGAACTGGAGTGTTTGTAATCACCCCACTTCCTAGTGTTTGGGATGGTAGATTTCCTTTGTAGACAAAATGCAAATGATGAGCCCCGTTGAAAGGTAGAAGAAAGCCATGGTGAATGAAGGGAAAGGTTTGGCAACTACCACAGAAAGCTGAAATAGTTAAAGATCTACAGTGAGTAGGTGGGATGGGGCCAGAGGACACTTTCCATAACAAGAAAATTCTCCAAAAATATTTTGTAGGACTATCTTTTTCATGTAATTTAACTTTTTTCTGTTCATGTGTGTACCGGTGTGTATGCATATATGGGTGTACCAGTGTGTGCATGTGTGTGGAGGCCGGAAGGCAACATTAGTGTTGCTACTCAGGAGCTGTCCACCTTGGTTTTTGAGACGAGGTCGTTCACTGGACCAGAGCTCACCAGGTAAGGTAGGCTAGCCTGAAGGGATTTGCTTCCTACTTCCCAGCACTGGGATTACAAATGTGTGCCACCATGCATTTTTTTTCTTTTTAAAAGGTTTATTTTTATTTGTGTGTGTGTGTGTGTGTGTGTGTGTGTGTGTGTGTGTGTGTGTGTGTGTACATGTTCAGGTGCCTGAGGAGGCTAGAAGTGAGCACTGGGTCCTCTGGAGCTGGAGTTAGAGGTGGTTGCTGAGTGCTGGGAACCAAACTCTGGTCCTCTTG